CCTAGCTCTGCTGTGCTGAATCCTCAATTTCCGCATCTGTGAAATAGGTAGAGTAGCACGTAATCCAATAGTCTATTTAAGATTTAAAGGAGATGTCATGTACAGAATGCTTGGCACAGTGACTGACAGAAAGCAAATGGTATTTGTTGCTTATGAGTGGTAGTTACTGTTAAATTGTTGCTGATGGTGCCAATCGAGAACCAAGAGCAGAAAAGGAAGTCCAAGTCCAACTTTGACCAGTTGTCAGGTTTGCTTGAGGGCAAACCAGCTTTCTATCCTGCTACCTAAATCCCCCTTTCCCCTTTCAGGGCCCTGCCCCCACACCCCACCTCAGATTGTATGCCCTGTGTCCCCACACCACATCATTCCTTGGTGACATCCCACACTTTTGACCTACCTCCACTCACAACCATCTTATCCATGCAGGCTCTCATTCTTTCATTACACAGCTCTCTGCTTGGAATCAGGTAACTAATATAAAGATTAGGTATTAATGATTAACGGAGGCTTCATGGTTGTCTCCCAGGTATATCACATTCATGGTTAATTTCCCAAAGGCTCCTGATAGAGATTTCTCAATCTACTATGAGTTTGAAAGGTAGATGGTTTTTTGTTTTTTTTTTTAAGATTTTATTTATTTATTTGACAGAGACACAGCGAGAGAGGGAACACAAGCAGGGGGAGTGGGAGAGGGAGAAGCAGGCTCCCGCCAAGCAGGGAGCCCGATACGGGGCTCGATCCCAGGACCCTGGGATCATGACCTGAGCCGAAGGCAGACGCTTAATGACTGAGCCACCCAGGCGCCCCAGGAAGATGGTTTTAATCAGAGCTGTTCTTGAGACTCTTTAAATCAAGCCCTCAAGTGCTGACCTTCTTAAAGCAAGTTGAGAGCATTCCCATATATAAAAGAAATCTCAGACTCCTTGAATTTGTTCATGTCTAAGCTACTGTTATATTGAGTTTTTTGGTAACATCTTTGGGCTCAGTTTTCCTCATCTGAAAAATGGGTATATAACAAAGATCCATTTTCTATCTCTTAAGCATCTCTTTCCTAAATGAGTGAACACAAGATAAATCAGCAAGTAGGGAGAACAGAGAATGTGTAGTTGTGTTGACTGGGGATAGAAAAAAGGAGTAGGTAAAAAAAATCTTTAAAAGGGGTCGGGGCGCGCTCAGTCTGTTAAGTGACTGCCTCAGCACAGGTCATGATCTCAGGGTCCTAGGGTCCACCCCCAAGTTGGCTCCCTGCTCAGCGGGGAGTCTGATTCTCCTTCTCCCTCTGCCCCTTCCTGCGCCCCCAACCCCCTGCTCCTGCATGCTCTCTCTCTCTCTCTAATAAATAAAAACCTTAAAAAAAGAAAAGAAAAGAAAAAAGGAGTAGGTAGATTTAATATTACCATTAGTCATGACTTGAGCCAAACTCAGCAGTTTTAGAACCATGTTTAACACTTCTGTCTGCATATTAGAATTAACTGGAAGTTTTTTTTTAAGGAAAAAGGTTCTTAGACTCCACCCCCCAAAATTCTGATTCAGTTGACATGGGGTGGGGTTTGAGCATCAGAATTTTTAAAATATCTCCTTAAGGTAATTCTATAGTGCAGCCAAGACTGAGAACCACTGTCTTAAAACAGCATCAGTGATATAAAGTAGGTGGAAAATGGCATCATATTAGCCAAGCCTTAGTTGTGACCAAGAGGTGAGCCTGGCTTTCTATTCTGGACATACTCAGCAAGTGACGCTCAACGGGTTTCACCTCGTGGTCATGGCCCGGGGGAAAGAACTCAAGGACAGATGTCAAGAATCACTAGATAGTGGGCTAGAGGAGCCGCAAAAATCCCCTAACTTTAATCCTCTTCCGCATTGATATGTGAGCACTGGCAATTCAGCTTGTCTCCAAGCCTCAGTTTCCCTATCCATTAAATGAACAGCTTAGATTAGATAAGCTCATGGGTGTTTCCCAGTGCTGTTATTCTATGATTCTAAGATAGTTTTCGAGCATCAGAGGAAAGATGCACCTCTGCGTTGGTATTCTCTACTCATTCCTCGTCTGAAGTCACCCTGGGAAGCCTACTGACCCATGGGTCCTCCAGCTCCAGCCCTCGTTCTGCAGGCCAAATGGCAGCCTGGCTTCCTCCAGCAGTCGAGAGACCTCCACCCTTGGGGGCCTTGTCCAGCAGGATGAAAGCTTGTGTGCAATTCTTGCAAAGGCAGCTCCTTTGAATTGCAGGGGCGGCCTCTAAGCGATCTCTCTGCTCCCCGGCAAGCACACGGCCTGACCACTGATGGCGTCTGCAGAGGAAGCGGTGGAATGTGGAAGTTTACACGACGTCAGGGTGTGCACATCCTCCCGTCTTGAGCCCTGGGAGCCTGGCCAACAGCTGCTGTATGGTGCTCCTCGTCCGCCCATCTCGGCAGCCTTGACTTGCCTTGGAGTCTCCTGATTTGTGCTTTTTTAAATAGGATGGGCTGCTAAGCAGGGCTTAAGGAGCTGAGCAGAACAGCAACCACAAGAATCTTTGGTGCTTACAACCTCTACACAGGCTCTGCATGAGGAATGTCACACTCCAGGCCTCAGACTCTGACCAAAATTCACTGGAAGGGAATTGCTGTGCTCTGAATGGTGGCGCCCCCACCCCCAATTCATGTGTAGAAAGTTTAACCCCCAGAGATGGATGGCATTAGGAGGGTGGAGCCCTCATGAACGGGATTAGTGACAGAAAAGAAGCACCACAGAGCTCGCAAGCCCCTCCACCATGTGGGGACACACGAAAGGTCTGCAACCCCGAAGAGGGCCCTCACTCCACCCCACTCTCAGACTCCCAGCATCTGGAACTGTGAGAAATAAATATCTGTTGTTACAAGGCCCCCAGTCTGTGGTATTTTGTTATAGCAGCCCAAGCGGACAAAGACAGAAATCATCTCAGCCAATCCCCTAATACACAATGTCCTGTCGGTGCACAAACTTACGAGAAACCCCTCAGCTCTGCCTCAAATTTGAGAGGAAAGAGAGCTGACACGTGCCATACTTGAGGCTGTGAGGTAAATGACAAATTTTGGTAGGGAAGAAGGCCAGGGGTTTTGATGTGCGTGTTGCAGACCTTTTTTAGTTTCTCGTTATCTGTGCGGGTGGACGAGAGGTGAGGTGAAGAGGGGGCGGGTGGCTGGAAAAAGGCAGATCTAGTAGACCTTGCCCCTGGGAGAGCTAAAGGTGGGAGCCAACAGGACACTGATGACCTAGGTCAGTCTCTGGGAGCTGCTTTCCAAAGGAGCTGCTTCTTGGTCCAGACGAGGTCCAGCACTACCCTGTCATCCACCTCACATGTAGCCTCTGGGGCGCTGAGGCAGTGACATCAGACCCCAGATCTTCGCGGGCCCTTCCCTGCACTCACAGGGCCTAGGGTACTAGAAAAGCTCCTGTTTCTTGGTTCTCCTTCTATGGACAGTGGCACAGGAGGAAGCAGGGCAACTTCAGCCAGTCAGTCCCCCTCTTGATCGTGAAGAGGAAGGGACACTCCAGCTTCCCAGGCTGGAGCAGCCACTCTGTTAGCCCATAGTCCTGGTGGAAGGAAGAGATCAAGAGGCATCCCCTGGCCAGGATGAGCTTGGAATTCGAATGCAGCCCTTCTACTCAGCCCGAGCTCTTGCTCCAAGGCCCAGCAAGGTCCTGCAACACCAGCCTCCAAACACCGACCTCAGGTCCCCCTTTTTGCACCTTCAAGCAAATGTTCCCTTTAGAATTATGAAGCCGGCTACTTGCATCCTCAGCTCTGTTTCAGCGCCTAAAGAATCAGTGTGAGGAATCCACGCCCTGCAGAACTACAGACTCTCATCAGTGTGAGTTAGGTGTTCAACAAGTGTCTCCACGCTTCCACTCTGTAATTACAAAACAAGTAAGCCCCAGGAAATCGAATATTTTATTGCTTTACTTAATGATGTGCCAAATCACCTCCCTCCCACACCCCCCAGTCTTCTGTAGGCAGGTCTCTAAGAGAATGTGCTGGGTCTCACCCCCTCCCTCCAGCGGTCTGGTGGCTGGTGGTGGCTGCAGCAGGACCTGAGTAGCAGGACTGAGCCGCACTCACCCTCCGGTCGGTACCTTTTGCTCTGTGGGTAATGTGTCATGGCCACACGCACGGGGGAAATAACCAGAGCGACGAAAACAAAGAGAAGAGGAGAAAAAGTGAGAAAACAAAAGGAGAAAAAGGAAAAATGATGGAAACACGTGCTGGGGAGCCTCAACTCTCACCACGGTGACCATCGATCTCAAATCTCTGAGGAAGCCAGCAGTGCGACCTCTGTAAACCCAGCACAGGTAACACCTGCTGGGAAATCGGGCCAGTGGCCTCCAGAGCGGAAGGCACCTTGGAGAACATCTATTTATACGTGTTTAGGGCTCATCCTTATTCAATGTCTGTCCTGTGTGTGTTTTAGGATATATATGATATAGCAATGTAGTAGTACATGTATATAATTTATAAGGAAAGAAATCTATTGGGGGGTGTATTTCTACATCAGTATTTTCTACTGATGGGGTATATAGTCAAAAGAGCTTGGAGACCACCTGCTGAGGACAATGACAGTCACCATGAAAGAGTCCACTCTCCCACCTAGCGAGGTGTGGGGCCTCACCAGGGCCCTCTGCTAGACTGCCTTAATGTAGGAGGACAAGTCAGCTGTCTGCTGGGAAGGCTCCCCTCCCCCCTGTTCCCTAGTGCTTCTGGTTCCTTTCAGGAGTGAAATCACTTGCATTTTGGTGAAACAGAAAAAAATATTATCGTGACTATTACTATCTAAACCCCCCCCCACCGTCTAAGGAAGTCCCATCATGGTGAGAAGGTCTCTGTCACAGGTCCACCGTATACAACTGTGGCCATGGAAAGGCAGGTAGGGACTGGAACCCAGCGCAGGCCCTGCTCCCCATGCCACGTGCCAGGAAAGGGCACTTTTCACTAAGGCTCACCAAGGTGTCTGTAAGGATTACCAACTGCTCTGCCTTTCTTTTTCTTTCTTTTCTTTCTTTCTTTCTTTCTTTCTTTCTTTCTTTCTTTCTTTCTTTCTTTCTTTCTCTTTCTTTTCTTTCTTTTTCTTTCTTTCTTTCTGCTTTATTTGTATATGCCTTTCTTATCAATTTTGCCTTCATAAATACAAAGTTTGTTGCTTGTTTTGTCTTAGTCTAATAATAATTTTGAGTTTCCAGCCCCTAGAGAGTGTGCATCATGGAAGGGGGGTACAGAATGGGGCTCTGGTCAGCAGGTGCAGCCCCCCCAAAACACAGCTCACCACAGATGAGTACAAGAAAGCTAAGTATCATTTTCTGCCCCTGTGTCTCAAGGACACCATGAGGCCATCTGACTAGATGAATTGTTCCACAAAGAAAAAAAAAAAAAGAAGAACTAATGCCTCGGTCCAGCCTTGGTGGGGGCCAGCCCCTATTGCCAGGGTCCTAGAATGTGGCCTGTTCCAAATGTCTCCATTGGACTTAGTCACCCAGCCATGGAAGGTTCCATTTCCCTCGGCCTGAGACCATGGTGGAATAATGCAATCCTTTTGAATACAGCCACAGGGGTCATAAATGTCCCCACATGTCCCTGCTCACCCTCATCTTCCTGCAAATTCCATCCATTTATTTTACTGGGAAACGTGATGTTTCCCCCTAAATGTCTTCTCCCTCCTAGGGAGTAATTTTGCTTCTCAGTCATCAGGTAGCACCGAGAAAGGGAATGTGTTATTGGGCCTCCGTGCGCTGTCTTTATGGTATGCTTGGAACGCTCAAGCATCAGCTTTGGGCTCTTTCATCGATTTGACAAATTCTTTGACTTCTTCTTCCAAGGCCTTGTTCCTCCTCTCAACATCCTCCCGGGAGCGCTCCACATTGCGGAGGCTGATTTCCAAGGCTGCAAATTTCTTCTTCTCCTTCTCCAGTTCTTCATTGAGCCTCACCACCTTGGCCCAGACATCATAATTTTCCTTCTCAAGGCTACAAGGAAGGAAATAACAGAATGAAAGAACAGGGTGTGACCTCTAGACTCTCCCTTCACCCTTGCTCACACACTCTGTCCACTTTCCTTTCTACATCACAAGTCCTATATCCAACTTCCACCCCCCCCCACATGCCCCCCACATGCAGACTTCCCAGTAAACCTGAAATCCCAGGGCATGTCTGAGCCCCTCTTTTGTCATTTAACATGATCTTATAACATCTTCTGTGTTGTTGTTTTTCATGTTGTTCTATGTTTTTTATCTTCCATCAGATAAAGTATTTGAAAGAAGGAACCACCTCCTATCTATCTATCTATCTATCTATCTATCTATCTATCTATCTATCTATCATCTATCTATCTATATTTTCACCTCCACAGCACCTTGCTCATGTCATGCTCAACAGAAATGTTGATTGACTGCTGCAGCCCCATATCCAGATTCCCAAGACCTTTGCACTCATGAGTTCCTGCCCATCCTGCTTCCAGGGAGAGTACCAGTGCCTTCTCTTATTAAGACCCTCTAGGGGTGGAGATTTGGAGAAGTTTGAACTGCCCTTTGGGAGCAGGGGCCCTGGCAGCCCCACCCTCACTTCCAATCTGCTCCAAGTGAAGAATCTCTTGGGGGGTGCCTGGGTGGCTCAGTTGATTAAGTGTCTCCCTTCAGCTCAGGTCATGATCCCAGGGTCCTGGGATCGAGCCCTGCATCAGGCTCCCTGCTCAGTGGGGAGTCTACTCCTCCCTCTCCCACTCCCCCTGCTTGTGTTCCCTCTCTCACTGTGTCTCTCTCTGTCAAATAAATAAATAAAATCTTTTAAAAAAAAATCTGTTGGGTTTCTGAATTCCCAGAAGTTTCCCTGTTACTGGCCCAAATCTTAGTCTAGTCCCAGGTGCTCCCTGCTCTGCCAGATTGTGCTGAATTAACTCCTAGGAATGAGAGTACAATGCCATTTTTAAGCCTAAAGAGGAAATTTCAGGACTGTGGGGAGATTGTGTGATTGGAAATTTGCTTCAGAATTTCATTCTGTGAGGTGCTGCCTCCCTGCCCAGCACCCCCCTCCCCCAAAATGGCCTTTTTTTTTTAGAAACTTGAGCTCCCATTTGAGCCCAGCCTAGCTTCTGTCTTCAGGGGCTTTGGACCATTCTCCAGGTATCAGCCCCTCTTTGGAACCTTGCCTCTCCCTTCCTATAGCTAAATTAGTCTCATTCCTTCTGGCCCTGTCATTACAAATCCAGTTCTTCTCCAAGTTTACTCTTGCTTCCATCTTGCTTTAGGAGAAGTCCCAACTGAGAGACTACAGCTCAATTCAGACGACTGATTCCGGTGAGAGATAGAATCTGGGTGGGCTCAGGAGTGTGACTGACCCAGGTTCAAATCTCAGCCCTACTGATGTTTGTGTGCCTCCTGAGGAATCTTTTTATACTTCCCGAGCCCCCATTTCTTCTGTAAAATGGGGATATTATCTATGTTACAGCATTGCTGTGGGGGATTACATGAAAAGGTATGTCTGAAACATGAAGCTCAGAGCAGGAGCTATGGACTGTTAATTCTTCTCTCACTGTTGAGGACGGAGGACCCCTTTGATGGGTGAATTCAGAGGACTTGGTTCCATTCAGGAGGAATGGCCCCTCCATGGCAGCTGGATCTTTCTCTACCCTGTCAATGATATTCACATGAGAGTACAGTGGGAAACTTCTCTGGGGCTGCTTCCGTTACAGACAAGATGGCACATGAATGTTGCAGTCCTACAAATGATTGATTTCAGGTTCTTAGACAAAGGATCTACATTTTGCTTTTAGACGGGCAGCCCTCTACATAGGAAACAAAGAACGAGGGCTCACAAAAGTCTTCCTTTCATGTACCTGAGTCTTAATGGACTGAAAAAGTACCCATAATTTGAAAACCCCACTAGTTCACATTTTACGTCATTACTGATATAGTTCATATGGGCTAAGCTGGATTGAGCTTTACACTCATGAAGTCAGTAGTGTGAAAAAGATTTCAAGAAAATAGTTTACCTACCCAAGAGAGCACATTGTGTCCAAGCACCTTAGGGATGTGCATGAAAATTGTGGCAATAGCCTCCGTATTGGCCTTCCCTTAACCCTCCCCCCCCCACCCCAGGGGGCCTGTGCTCAGTAGGAAGCCAGTGATTCGGTGAAGTTTTAGTCAAGTAGATCTGGCTAGAAGCTCTGTCTCACACAGGCTTTAAGGTGGCTGGCACGTCCTCCTGCCGTCATCTGCCTTCTCTCCTATCAGCTATTCCCCGCTGCTCCAGCTCACCACCACTCTTCCTGTGCATGAACATACCAGACCTGCACCTTCACTTCTCCCTACCTGGCCTGCTCTTCCCCCATAGGTGGGCCTGACTTATTCCCTCTTCTCTTCAGGCCCTTGCTTTAATGCCACCATCTCAGTGAAGCCTTTCTGACCACCCTATTTAACATAGGAACCCCCTTCCTGGACCCCCCCAACCTCCTGCCCTGCTTTATCTTCCCCGTAGCATGCTCCGCCATCTGACATAGCATATATTTTAATTACTTATACATATTGTCTGTCTGTTCCCGATAGAAGGAAAGCTTTATAAGCACAAGGACTTCTGTCTGTTTTGTTCAGTGCTATTCCCCAACAGCTGGGATGGTGTGTGGCACACAGGAGGTGCTCAATAAATATTTTCAGAAGGGATGAATCACATTAATATGAAAAAAAAGTCAAGTTCCTCTTAATTTTTAGAGCATGTCAATCCTTAAAGAACCACTATTTGGAAATAGTTGTTTAAACTGCATAAGTTACATACTTCGCTTTCCATGAATTTAACCTAAAACTTAAGAGTTTTCACTAATGTAGTCATCTCATCATTCCCTTTACCCCTTTCTTCAATTAAGCCCAACTGCTATAGATTGCTGTATTCTCTAAACTCAAGGTTTCTAATATCACTTCGTTGGCACAGGAGAACAATCCCTGTTGCTTCTGAAAATGGAAGCCGAGTGACTGCCCGAGGCCCCTCTGCAGGTGACTTACTTTTTAATCTGTTCCTCATACGTTTGCTTCTGTGTCTCTATTTCCTTTCGCAGCTCCTGGACCACCCTCTGCAAGGATTCAAGTTCCTCTTCTCCAGAGTTCTTTTTCCCATGCCCGGTTTCAGAGTTAGGGCTGGCAAGAGTTTCTCTCTTGGAGTCACAGGCGTGGGAAGAGACAGTAGCTGCCTCCTCCCCGGGGGCCCTGGGCGGGGCAGGGACATTATCGTAGGTGGAAGTCCGCTGGGAGTCGGGACAGTGGGGCACACCTTGAGACATCGTTCTCCTGTGCCCTTCCTCGGCCTTTACCTCCGAAGAAGGTGACCAGAACTCATTTTTAAAGATCTCCACTTTGCTGCTGTTGGCACCTTGAAACACTGACGTCAAGAAGCATTTCCGATTAGGGAGTGTCTGAGTCCTTTTTCGTGACTGCAGCTTCCAATCACCTAGCTTTTCCCTGGGGGCTTTACTGTTCTCTTCTAAACATTCATCACTCGGCTGTTGTCCAGTGGGGCTGGTTGTGTCTGAGTCGCTGGTCTAGAAAGAAATGGCCATGGATGTCACATGGGTTTTTCCCGTGTGTCAGGTCCCCAGGATAAGGATTAGCAACTTGAAAGAAAGTATCTCCTGGCTGCACACCCATGAAACTCTTAATTAGAAGACCTTAATTCATCACATTATTGATTATCTGTGTGGTGTTTTTCCACAAGGCTATTGCACTGAAAAGGAACTAACTCATGCTCTAAAAATTAATTGTGTATTAGTTGTAAGAGAGTCTTAAACTAGGATTCTTTCATAGCTTTAGGATGAGGAGGCCTTTCTAACTAGAAGTCAAAATCCAAAAGCCATAAAATACAAGTCTGATAAATTCAATCTACATGGGTTTCCATGACCCCCCCCAAATTAAAAAGAACAAAAATAAAACAAAGATATCACCATATATAAAATCAAAAAAGAAATGACAAACTAGCAAAAATATTTGCAATACATATCACAGACAACAAGCTACTCATATATAAAGTTCATACAAATTGAGAAGAAAAAGACCAACAAAAATATGGATAAAGGACAGGATCAGACAGTCCACAGAGGAAAAGAAAAATGCAAAAAGCCCTTATGCATAAGAAAAGATGTTTAGCTTCTCTCATTATTAAAGAAACCCAAATCAAAATTAAAATTACTGAAATATCAGGGCACCTGGGTAGCTCAGTCGTTTAAGTGTCTGACTCTTGATTTTGGCTCAGGTCATGATCTCAGGGTCGTGAGATCAAGCCCTGCCTTGGGCTCCATGCTCAGCTTAAGATTCTCTCTCCCTCTCCCTCTGTCCCCACACCCCCTCTCACATACACACTCATGTGCTCTCTCTCTCTCTAAAAAAAAAAAAAAAAATTAGTGAAATATCAGTTTTCACCTATCAGATAAGACACTTCCCCAAATTTGAAAACACATTTTGCTAGTGAAACTGTAAGGAAACAGGCTCTTTCGTGCATTGCTGGTGGAAGTACAAAATGGCACAACCTCTATTTGACAATTTTAGTAAAAATTACACACAAATCTACTTACCCTCTGATTCAGTAATCCCAATTCTGGGAATTTATCCCAGAAATACATCTACCCAAGTATAAAATGAAGCATGGTCAAGGTTATTCATTGCAGCCTTGTTTGTTGTACAAAGGAATGAAAATAATCCGGTCATCTGAGGGACCTGTCCACGTATTGACATAAAAAGGTCTCCAGGATATACTCTTAAGCGGAAAAATGGAAGATAAAGAGTAGCATGCGTGTGCATGCTTGTGTGTGTGTATGTGTGTGTGAAGAGAGAGCAAGAGAATATGTTATATTTGCATAAAAAAGAAGTAAATAATTTACATTCATATCTATTTATATTTGCATAAAGGAATAATGGAAGAATAAGTATGAAACTAATAAAGGCGGGGAAGGATGGCGTGAATGGAGATAGCAGAGGGAGCAGGATTTCTCAATGTATATCTTTTTCTCATTTTAATTTTTTTTTGAACCGTGTATATATATTTTTAAATTAAATTAAAAAGAAAAAAAGAGAAGAAAAAGAATGAGTCCTAAAATCAGAAAATCAAGGCTCAGGCTCTCCTTCTAATCGCTCTAGCTAATCACTTGCTTCCACAACTCCACTGGAGTCAGAAGCACCGGGTCTCAAAGTGAGAACTAGAACTAAATTCCATTCTGTAACATTCTAGTGCTGCCACCTTGGGCCAGCTGGTCAACTTCCCTGAGACTCTGCTCCTGAAAGATAAGATGTGGATGACAAAGTCTGCCCTACATAGTTATGGTGAGGACCCCAGAAGTGACCTACTTAAGTTTCCCAGAATAGTGCCTACCCATAGCTGCCTACACTGTTACAATAAATAACAGAAACCTGTCGAATAAGCCTAACAATGTCTACTCCCAAGGACCACCAATAGGATTTCATTACATGAAGTATAAGCATTTCTAAATATTAATTTAATTTGAGAGTGTTGGCAAAATGCATCATGTACAGACATCACCTAAGAAGAATCATAACCACTACCACTACCTACCTTTTTTTCAATACTTTCTTAATTATCCTCAGGATTAATAGTACTATAGACAACTTACATTACTGGGTCAACCAGAAACTTTAAATTCATCTCTTGGTCACACATAAAGAATCAAGCTGCTACACAAAGTTCATGTTTTTTTTTAAATATTTGTCTCTATAAATATATAAAAATATTTGAGCTTTGTAAATTATTGGCCTCAACTAGTCTACATTTCAGAGGTTGCAGAGTTTTTTGACATTGTGAACGTGAGCCCCAACCCTTCAGTACAAATGAGGAGGGTGACATTGCTGAGACAGCTTATCAGGGAATGAGAAATATTACATGAACACATCACATACTCTGAGAAAGAAATCACGTTTCATGGGTCAGCAGGAAACCAGTTCTCTCTGGACTTTCACCCGGAATTTTCAACAACTCTCGCTAAAACACTTACAATGTGATATATAATTTCCCCTACTGAACTTTCCTGGACTGTGTTTGGCAAGGCTTCCCTTTTAGAGTGGGCTTTAGTGAGGACTCCCACTGCTCAGTCATTAGGAGACTGGCATACGTGTCACTAACCCCACCTCCAGGATGCCAACAGACACTAGATTTAGAAAGAGGCCAGGCTTTCAAGATGCATTCAAATGGGTCGTACCATCTATGCCCACTGTCATGGCATCATCTAAAACTCCTCAAACTGCCACCCTAGACCAGCTTTTACATGGAATGACTTGGACTAAAGGAAGAGTCAGATGGAAGGAAGAAGGTTCTCTGCATCTTACCATGTTACTGAAGCTATCTGTCCTAGAAATTGGAGGGTCTTCAGTGGCATCCCAGCCCACAGAGCTTCGAGCTACTGGAGGTTTCTTAGGGTCATTTTTCTGAGCAGGGGGTGAAAGGGGGGCATCCTTGGACTTGGGGAAGAGAACTTCATGGTCTCTGATCATCATGGTCATCACTCTTTGGATTTGAGGAGTCCCTGAAAGAAGAAAGAGATCTGTAAAGCTGGACCATGGCAGGAGGCAGGCAGTCCTCAGGGTCTCCACCCGTGGGATGTCTCTAAACTTGGCTCTAAAACCACAGGGCCCAAAAGACCTCATTTTGCTCCTCATGGGACCCTTCTAAGGGTAGGAGATTGTGGTGAAAGAGAAGGGATAGGAGAAGGATATGGGAGTGGGGTGAAGGAGGGTTATTTTCAGCCTATACGGTACTGTGGGTCAGTCTTTGATCAGAAAATGAGCAATATAATAGTAGAGAAAATGAAGACATCTTTCCCCCCTGATGTGGTCCTCGATATGTCATCTGATCTCTTATTGCACGCACAGCAAATACGTGACAGCCATACTGCCTTCCCAAATCCACGGCAGACATCAGTACTCTATGCCAGGACTTTTGCTCACTGAACCAAGACACAGCCACAGAAGCCTTTTCGACACAACTTTACCAGTAGCCTTTTTTTGTGAATTGTCTTATAAAATCAAACTTGCTTTCTCTATTTTCTTGCAAACTTGCTTTCTCTGGCTAAGGGTATTTAAAAGTCATAAAAGACAAAGAAATACTGTTTTTTTTGCTAGCCTATTATACTGTGTGACCACTGGGTCAATTTTTAACCTCTCTGCTCTGCTGTGATCTGGAAAATGGACATAATTTCTGCCCTGCTCCTTTCACAGGGCTATTTCACAGTTGGGGCAAGGTAATCAACTGAAAATGCTTGGCAAATTGCAGCGCACTTTGGTAGCTAGGTAACTGTTGTCACTTCTTCTGCACGTGCCTTCCCCACAGGATCAGCTGTACCTCTCATGATCACAGCAGGGTCTTCGACCTTCGACCTGATGAGATTCACACCAATCACGGTAGCCAGGTTATCCACACTCATCTTGTTAACACCACAGTTGAGCTGGATTTCATGTAGGAACCTGTGGGCAACCAGGAAATCCCATAGTAGGAAATAGGAAGTTGCCAGAAGGAAGCACTTCCAGGTACCACTGAGATCTCAGAGATGGATCCCATCTCCAACTTTCTAGTCTCAGAAATGGAACCAGTGTGCTCAGCCCACATGAGTTTAACTTCACCCTGAAAGATTCAAGATCAAGGAGGAAGAGAAACCAGAAGGGATCTGCCCAGCTGCTAGGGGTGGTGTGGGGGCTCGGGGTGGGGCGCCCCAACAGCAGGAGGTAGGATTTGGTTCAGGGAGCTAAGAGGACACTAGAAGGACTCAAATGGGTATGTGACTACCCCTCATTCTGACTTTATAGGCTTATCTCTCAGGCACTCGGCACTCATCCCACCCAAGTTTCCAGAGATGGAAACTTTATCTTGAGGAGATGTCACAGAGGGGAATCCACAATGCCTCTTTGCTCTCATCCTCCGATTACAGCACCAAGCATCTCAAATTCTCAGTGGGTGCTCAACAACTAGCAATGAATTTTTACTATAATTACACGCATTGGAGGCATGAAGCTCTCAGCTTCCTTATTAAAAAAAAAAAAATTGGCAAAGGAATTTCTAAATACCTTCTCCAAAAACCACTTTTAAATGGATAGGTTGAAGCAACTTAAAATTCCAAATACATAGAAATTATCAAATAAATGGTGGTGTTTTCAAATGAGGAAACATTATGGAATATTACAGAGTCATCTATAATCCTATTTTATGACATAGGGAAATGCTCACAATATCATATTAAGCCAAAACCAGGATACAAATATATACAAAAAAATTGTTCCCCAATATTTATATTGATGTATGTAAAGATCTTTCATAGAAAGAAAAACATCCCAAAGGAAACATCCCCAAGCAGTAATAGTGATTTTTGCTGAGTGAGGACATTGTATATTATTTTTATTTCTTATTTATAGGATGTTGTATTTTCCTGGTTTCCAAATCAAGCATGTATCACTTTTATAACCTGGATACTACCACAATTTATTTTTTAAAAAGAAGATAAATTTCAGCTCTGTCTGGCATGGAGATCCAGGCTCCCAGCTCAGACAGACTTGGGTCAATCTACATGCTATGTGTTGCCATGAATGTCTCCAGGGCACAAAGTTATGGCCCCAGAGTCAGGAAGATGGGAGATAATTCTAGAAACATTATAAGGATTCTGGGTGCTACTGCATGTCCCAGGACTCCGGGCAGCACAGAGGCAGGCCTGAAGGAGGAAGCATGTTCACTTTGCATGCCAATCATGTGACTCTGAGTGGATCCTTTAAATCATCTTGTGGATAAAGGGAACCTCTTCAGTGCTGCGTGAATACAGCTGACCTTCCCAAGGTCTGGACCAGAAGCTCTGAGTTCACAGAGACACTCTTTTCTACTCTAACTGGGGGCTTCTTTCTGATACGGCTGGGAACTGATGCTGGGGGACTCTTACCTGCATATGTAGCTCAGGAGGTTATAGTTGTCTCGAGGAAGGATGGACAGCTGCTTCACCAACTCCTGCTGAGCCTGGGAAGAGATTTTAACACCGTAAACATCCCTTGCTGGCAATGAGACTCTGGAACAGGAGGAACATAATTGGTGGATCTGTGCAGAAGCAGCACGGGCAGTCACTCCTGTTCCCACGGTTTTTGTAATTTTTTAAAAAGCTTTTTACTTTGCAATAATTATAAATTCACAGGAAGCTGCAAAAAAATAGCATGGAGAGGCTCACGTGTTTTTTTTACAGGACATTTTTTTATCTCTAATCGTACCCTCTTCCCCAACTCAGAGCTATTCTAAGGCAAGGATGATTTGACAATTCATACAATCATTGTTTGCTTAGTGAATGCTTGAGATGTAACACTCCAGTAAAGAACTGGATCATAACCAAATACCCCAAGCCATTTGGTTTTTAAAACCAAATACCCCAAGGGGTGCCTGGGTGGCTCAGTCGTTAAGCGTCTGCCTTTGGCTCAGGTCATGATCCCGGGGTCCTGGGTTCGAGCCCCACATCGGGCTCCCTGCTCAGTGGGAAGCCTACTTCTCCCTCTCCCACTCCCCCTGCTTGTGTTCCCTCTCCCGCTGTGTCTCTGTCAAATAAGTGAATAAAATCTTTAAAAATAAATAAATAAATAGATAAATAAATAAATAATAAAACCGAATACCCCAAAAGAAGAAAAATATCAGTATTGAGAGAAGAAGGAAGCTTCTAAGAAGGGTTTTAAGCAATAAGGCCTTGCTGAGACCTGCTGGGACACAGGACAGGCTGACTAATCCAGGGGGTGGGGGGCAGGTAAAGGTCAGAATGTTCTAGCTCCATGAGACCATCATACAAGGAATGCATGTGCCAGGGAGGGGAAGGACAGAGAGTTTTTCTCAGGTCCTTTCACCTGCAGCTACCTGTAGGGTCTGTGGTGATTGCTGGTAACATCATGATTGTAAAAGCGCATCAGTTTACATGACACGCACAGGCTCCCTCAACCCTGAGCAGGTCCTCCTATGCACCGCATGGCCTGTCAGCCTGCATGCAGTGACTTGGTGCAGACCCTCTGTATCCAGAATGCCCGCTTCATACCGGGATTCCCTCCTCTTCATTTTAACTAGTCAATTCTTCGCAAAGGCTGCTGTAGACTCATGGCTCCCAGCTATTACCCCTGCCACATTTTCACCAACAAGGGAGGCTGTAGTCCCTCTGCCTTGCCCAGATGTGCATTACCATAGGTTAGAAACTCAGGTATGTTGAGATGGAGGCAAGTTGGGAGAAACAGGTCCAAAGTGGGGAAGTTCAGGGGTGGGAGTCTTATTGTCAGATCTGCATCCGTGTACCTCCTTTGCTTTCCCTGGTGCTGGGGGCTGAGAGGTTGCCTGAAACACTGGTCTTTTCAGACAACTTTTAAACCTCATTCCATAAAGTGTTATTACGTTCACAAAGGTGAGCTGATATGCTTATATTAATTAAGACTTGTTGGGACGCCTGGGTGGCTCAGTTGGTTAAGCGACTGCCTTCGGCTCAGGTCATGATCCTGGAGTCCCGGGACCGAGTCCTGCATCGGGCTCCCTGCTCAGCGGGGAGTCTGCTTCTCCCTCTGACCCTCCCCTCTCTCATGTGCACTCTCTCTCACTCATTCTCTCTCTCTCAAATAAATAAAATCTTTAAAAAAAAAAAAAAAGACTTGTCATGTCCTCGTCTCAACCTCCACAAAAAAATTCATAAATCCTGCCCCAAATCATGCACTCAGCTACTAAGTTTAAAGTGGCTTGAGGTATTTGATTATAGTCCCATTCTTCATTGGATTATTACAGTCCAAGAAGGCTGTCACCATGATTGGCTTCATTTGCCTTTTGTTGCTGAGGAAGATCTAGATGAGATCATGTAACCTAACTCTTGTGTCAGAAAATAGCTACACTAGCTCCAGCGTGTTAGCGGTATCTGTATCGTCCCTTTCATTTCCTGATGTTGAAATACAAAATCACTGTTTTTCTTGTACCAGGATCCACTTAAATGGTGAGGCTCTTCGCCCTGAGTCAGGAGAGAAGTTCTCACAGCTACGCTTTCTACCAGGTCTGGGGTACTATGGCTCTTTTGTTTAAAAATAATAACTGTAAATATAAAATTATTATTTTCTGGGGGTATACTATGTAATAAATTCTAAAATAGAGAACAAACCTCTCCTTAAACCAATAATTTAAAAATATCACTCACCTACCTCATATCCCTTGTCCTCAAAACAATCCTAAGTATAGCAGATGTTATTATGAAATTTGTCTGTTTGTGCTCTCCAGTACAACAGCTACTTGACATATGTGACTACTTAAATAAGAAAATAAAATGAAATTAGGAATTTGGTTCTTTAGCTGAACTAGCCACATTTCAAGCGCCCAGTAACCATGTGTGGTTAGTGGTTATCATATTGATCAACACAACTATATACCAGTTCTGCCATTATAGAATGTTGTGTTGGTCTAAGTAAGTAAACTCTTGTAGAAAATGCTTAATTTGCCTAAAGGCAAAATCAAAGTTAAATCCAGGTCTTCACTGTAGGCTTTTCCGTGCACCATGTTTCCAAAGAGAGCTTTAACACAGTAGTGCTAAGAACTAAACCACCCCCCAAAGTGGGGAGTTAGACCCCATTGCAGTATAACATAAACGTATTCCTCGGGCATTTGGTTTTGCAAATCCTGGGTTAAAAACCATGAAGGTTTTATTGTTGCTAGATGGGTTTTCCTGCTTTCTTCTGTTGGTTGCTTTGTTTAATTAACATGACTCCAGCGTGGTGACTGTTGACTGTAAGAACTTTCAGGAAACAATTTATATAAGATCACAAATCCTGCAGGCGAACGTGTGCGCTCTAACAAGCATGCTGTCGCAGCTGACCACAAACCCACAAGCAGCTGCAGCTGAAAAGGAACAAAGAAATCTCCTTGTCTTTCCTTTCTCTGGCACATGCATTCCTTGAATGCCCATGCCTGACACACATTCACCGTGGAACTAGAACATTCTCACCTCTCACCTGACCTCCAGGTTGGTCAACCTGTCCTCCTGTCCCATGAGGGTCTCAGCAAGGCCATATTGCTTGATACCCTTCTCAGAAGCTTCCTCTTTCTCTTATTAATTTTAAAGTGACTTGGGTATATTCAAGATAGTCAATTCTGCATTGGATTGTCACATCCCAGCAAGGCTGTCACTATGATTGGCTTCGATGGCCTTTTATTGCTGACAAAGTTGCAGTTTGACAAAGTATCTCACTCAAAGGTATGGGTCCCCTGACCCGCTGTAGTTTGCCCACCAGAATAGTGTTCAATAACCATCACCTTCTTCCAAAACAGGATGACTAACTCAAATGAGATACAAACCTTTGCCTCATCTGCATTCATGAGCTGCCCGCAGAGCAGGAACCCCTCATACTGGTTCCAGGGAACCACAGGCTCCGGGAGGTCTCGGAGATAGAGCTTTAACAGGGAGGCCACTGTGTGCACGTCTGTCTCTCTGCAAAAAAATAAGCAATGTTCTTTGAAAGTGAAACTCCAGAACACTCCTCCCCTCCCCCCTGGTGATCCACTGAATAGAATCCCAGGTTCCCAAAGGGAGTTTTGCGAAGGAGTAGAGTCTGATAAAGATGTATCCAAACACACCATCTTTGCTAATCTTCTAGAATAATGACCCCCAACACTTCTTCATCTCTTCCACCAACTACCTCAAAGGTAAGTTCAAGGTCTACCTTTTCATTAATCCTATTAAATTATTTTTGTCTTCATCTCTTTCTTTTTTATCCAAGTCACTTAGTGCCTCACAATTTTGCATTTTCTACTTAGTCTCTAATTTTTCATGTGATAACTCATTTATACCCATGGCCCATGATCTCTTTAAACCCTCAGAGAGCTTAAAACATTTCTGGGATTCATTCACGTATTTGCATAATCATGCATTCAATCGGTAAGCATTGAGAGAACCTACTAGGGGCAAGATATTCTGTCAAGCACTGCGATTTCAGCAGTGAACCTGAGGGATACACAGGACACCTGGCCTCACTGAGCCCCGGAGCTGTGCACACCCACAGGTTACCAAGTCATTACAATATTGTGAGGTTAGTACCATGACAAGAAAGCCCAGGACCTGGGACTGTATGGAAGTATGAAAAAGAGGGACATCCAGTGCAGAGTCATAGGGGACAAGATCTGAAGAGTGGCAAGGAGTTACAGCATGGGGAGGGAGCACAGGTATTAGCCTGGAGGGTGGGAAGCAGAGGCCCTGCAGAAGACAGAGACGGCATGCAGATGACTGCCCGGTCACCTAAGAAGGTGGCTCGTGTTTTTCAGTTCAGCTTCTCCAGCTTACAGCAGGAGTAGGCAAACCATGGCCCAGGAGTCAAATCTGGCCCAATGCCTGTATTTGTACAGCCTCTGAGCTAACTTTATGTTTTTAAATGGGTAGGAACAAAACTCAAAAGTAGCCTATTTCATGCCCTGGGAAATATGAAATTTGAATTTCAGCACCCACACAGTGTTACAGGAATATAGTCTTGCTCATTTGTTCTTGCATTGTCTTTGGCTGATTTTGTGCTATATTTTGTGCTAAGACCAGAGCTGAGTAGCTGCAGCAGAAACCATCTGGGCCTGCAAAGCCTCAAAATTTCACATGTGGCCTTTCATCAAAGTCTGCTGACCCCTGGTTATAGAGCTATGGCATTTATCCTGCAGCACTATAAGAGAAAACGAGTCTGAATCTACCATATGCTTGAAGTTCATTAGTGAAGAAATTATTTACTTCAATTTTATTTACTTCATATAAAAAAAAAAAAGAGTATTCTTAAGCAAATGTCCAGGTAGTTATTTTGAAAAGCTATGATGTGGTAAGAGGTTCAGACCATGTGAGTGTCTCCTCGGTTTCAGGGATGGGGAATATAGAATTGGCTGGTAGAAGAGCCTCCTGGAGAAGGGACAGCAGGGGTCAGTTTGGGAAGAGGGAGGAGGAGGGAGGCATTGGAGGCATCAGGACTTGACTGTAAAGCTCTGTCTTGATGTCCCGAGTAAGTTTTTTTGTTTGTTTTTGATAGCCAATGTGTTCGGAGCTGTCTCCTGCAAAGACCCCCCCCCCCCCCCCCCGCAGCCTGTGAGCACTCAGCCTCAAAATGAGAATGCAAACTGGCATAGAGTCCTGACTATGCTGCATTGCTGCCTCAGGAAATTAGGGCTGGGAACCATTCACTTAAGGTGGGCATTCTGGAAAAGTCTTGCCTGCTGGGTCACTGCCTAAAAATATTCCTGGGCAAAGACCTCTTGTCAAAATACGTGAGGAGTTCCCAAGAAAATGGCAGAATGACAACCTGCTGACCCACATTCTCCTAAAGTCCCACAGTGGCTCCTCCTCATGCCCCAGCACTGCAACCCTCTCTATGGTCTTAGTCAGAATCCAGAGCCTCTCCTTCACTCCACATCCAATTATGCTCCCCAAGCCCCTCAATTCTATCCGAATGTCACATGAATCACTCTAAGTCCCGCCCTTCACTGCTCTATTTCAGTAGATAATGGCCTTTTGCCAGGATCCTTCCCCAGCTTCCTATCTGGCCTTCTGCCTCCAGGGTTCCAGTCTCTGATGTACTGTCCCCTGCCTGGCACAGCCCCCAACACACAAAATACATCCAAGCAATGAATGTTGCCAACAACAATTTGAAATAAGAAAGACAGTATCAATGATACATTTAAAAAAACCCCAAAAAAACAGAATCTTTTGAAGATAAATGACAACAAAACGCACAAACTATTAGATAGTTCAATCAGGAGAAACGACAGCAAAAATACCCAACGTTAGAAAAAAGAAAGGGTTATAACCACTGATATAGTGTAGATGCTTCAAAGTTATAACCAAAGAACACACTTATCTATGTAAGTCATCTTGGAACATTTAAAACCAGAGAAAGCTTCCTGATTCATTTTACCAGGGGAAGATAATGCTGCTTGTCCTGGCAAACTCCTCATGCCTGCTTAATGTGTCTGAGCATAAATGTCATTTCTTCTTAGGGGTCTCCCTAAATCCACCAGACTATGTCAAAAGGCTCCTATTCTAGGGCACCTGGGTGGTACCGTCTGTTAAGCATCCCTGTCCTGGTTTTGGCTTAGGTTGTGATCTCAGGGTTGTGGGATCAAGCCCTGGGTTGGGCTCAATGCGGAGTCTGCTTAAGACTCTCTCTTCCTCTGCCCCTCCCCCCCCTAATAAATAAATAACCCTTTTTAAAAAGAGGTACCTGTTTTAAGTTCTCATAGTACCATCTAGTTTTCCATTTTAGCACTTAACGCATGGAAATTATAGAATTATTTCTGTAAATTTTTAGTTTAATGTCTGTGCCCCCATCGTAACACGGCCAAATCAGTTGTCACTGTTACAGTCTAAATTTCCAGCATGATTTTTCCTGAGTTTGCTATTCCTTCAACCCAATGAACCACCTTTAAATGATTTTTTTTTAAGTCAAGAACTAAAGACAAATCAGGAGCCAGGTGACTTCTGAGTTAAACACCTGATCCACCAGAGATTAGCCCAGGCAACACCCAATGGTTCTGCCAATCCTTCCCTGGTAGCCCGGATCTTAAGATGTGGCACATCTGTATGTTTCTCACAGAAATATAGGTATCAGAAGTATATTAGTTTTGTGGCAGATCGTATCCAGCCCAGCAGAAACTCAACAAAGAGATTTGAAAATTTATATGTATATGTTTAATGAGAATCAGATATAGCTGCACTAGAATCTACCAAATAAAAGCTCCTTTGTTTCTCTTCATTCCAGTGAGACAATTTGGGAGATCTCAAACCAACCCTATGACCAACATAGGTCTAGATGAGTACCCACAAGGATTATGTAGCTCTAGAATTGGCCCTGGGAGGACTCTTAAGAGCCCCAGGTAACCCCTCCTATTTCTAGGTGTGCAAACTCTACTTCTTAGGGCGGGGTAGAGAGGTCATGACAAGCTGTGTAACTTTCCTTCTTCCAGCTCCAAATATTTCACAGGAATCAAAGACTATGACTCTACCACCCAGGCTGACTTTATAGGTACATAAAATCAAGCCCAGGGCAAGTATCTGACAAACCCCTGCAATCACCTCTCTTCCTCCTGGCTGGCTCTTCACATCGCTTTAGCAACAACCTGACTGTATCTTTTAATCAACTCAAAGCTAATTAAAAACATAAGAAGAAAACTGAACGCAAAGGTGGTGAGCTTAATTGAACAGGTGCCTGATAACGAAATGCAATTTATAGTGCTGCTGAGAGGTCCATAAATTTGACGCCCATAACCTGCTATAGTTCCAGTAACAACTCCACCCATTGCTTTCCTGTAAAAATACAGCACCCTTGGTAAGTTAACCTACTGCACGCCAACGGCGGCCAAGACAGACATGTGGTGGTCCAAACTCAGGCAGTGGCTGTGAGAATGGAGAGAACAGATGGTATCAGAGATGCTGCAGAGGGAGAATGGGCATTGCTGGTGACTGGGGTGGATGATGGGGAGAGGGAATTCACGGCACTTAGCTGTTCATGATTTTGCCGGGATCAGCCCTGTTCCTAGGTCCTAAATAACCTCTTGGGGAATTTCAACCTTTGGAAACTGGATAGAGTTGAGGCCTGTCTCACCAAATCTTGATTTACGGGCTGCTGATTTAGAAAGAACAATGGCTCTCTCTTGCCAGCAGGACAAGCACACACAGGCAACCAGGGCGAATATTGCACAGTAGGTGGAGAACTTCCAATATCGGGGTGGAGGCTACACTAGGTGACTGTGGCAAAACAGAAAACCTCGGCTGGGTAGCTGGAGGGGGTGGGGTGGGTCGGCGATGGTGAGAAATGTCACTACAGCTGGTCTGCCCCAACCAAACCTGGGCAACCTCCCCAGGGGAGGCATCAGGGGGACAGCTGGTCTGCCCCAACCAAACCTGGGCAACCTCCCCAGGGGAGGCATCGGGGGGACAGCTGGTCTGCCCCAACCAAACCTGGGCACCTCCACAGGGGAGGCATCGGGGGGACAGCTGGTCTGCCCCAACCAAACCTGGGCAACCTCCACAGGGGAGGCATCGGGGGGACAGCTGGTCTGCCCCAACCAAACCTGGGCAAACTCCACAGGGGAGGCATCGGGGGGACAGCTGGTATGCCCCAACCAAACCTGGGCAACCTCCACAGGGGAGGCATTGGAGGGACGCCAGACTGCTGAGACATCAATATGTATGTACTGTCTCCAAAAAGGCTCAGCAGTTCAGAGGTGGATGCTACTGTGGTCTCCCAAACTAACAAGAAGTCCTGGTTCTGGCCATTTCTGGAAAGCTGAGGAAGAACATCGGAGCCCTTGGGCATAGATATGGTACGTTCACTACCACACTGAGTCTGTTCGTACAGCCAGCTCAGCTCCTCCACAGTCCTCATGGGCCCGGCAGTGTGGGCCTCGAGCTAGGTCCGATCTTCCTCCCCTCCTGCCACAGCACTAACCCTAACCCTGCATCAGCAAGGCCCTGCTTCAAGTTCACATCATTCCTCACGTAAGTGACCAGCAAAACAAAAGGCTCTCTTTATGGCAAACCAGGGCCTTGGAAACATCTGTGCGAGTCCTATAGCTCAGCTGGTAGAGAGAGGTTCTCCCACCCAAGTGAGGCAGGGGGAGGGCATGGTGAGGACAGGGTACCTGTCAAAGGAGGGCCTCTCCCCAGCATCAAAAGCATCTCTGAGCTGCTTCACCAGATTGTCCTGCCCAGGCAGTCGGAAGATGCCCTCTTCATTCAGGCCGTGCTGGAGGATGAACTCTGCACACTTCTCCACCAGGATGGGCACCAGGTGGGGGCCAAATTTCTGTTCATAGGCCACAGTCTCATCCAAACGCTGGCCAAACACGGCTGGGAAGAGAAAAACAGGACCTGCTCATCACTCTGACTTCCACTGGATGAACTGATAGGTCAAAGTGCTTTGCCTCTATCTAGATTTGTTTGTGTTGCCTGTAACCCCAAAAGTTTTAGTGCAATGATACTAGACAAAAGGGCGGAGACAAGTCACCCATAATATCTCCTGGGGCTATACCTTTGGGGCGGTCTCTGTCAGTCTTTTTCTCTTGACCCACATTTTTACATATTTAAAATAACAACTCATTTTTACAGAGTACCTGTTGTGGGCTAGAAACTGTGCTAAGCGCTTTGCACACCTGTTCTCATTTCATCTCAGTGGCAACCCCACGAGGTAGTAGAATTGTTATACTCACCTTACTACTAAATACACTGAGCCTTAGAGGCACTAGTGAACTTGCCAAGGTCAGGTGCCAGGCCATGGTAGTCAGAATTCAAGCCCAGGCAGTAAACTTGAGAACGTGCTCTTAACCACAGCAGTGAGCAGGCGGTTTTGAATTCTGCTTGTGTCCTATAGCATCAGAATATAACAGTCTCCCACATGGATATCTCATACTGTATTAAACCATCATGGCATTTTTAATAATTTAGATTGTTTACTATGTTTTACTACTTTTCTTTTTAAGATTTATTTATTTATTAGAGAGCGAGAGCGTGAGCAGGAAGAGGAGCAGAGGGAGAGGGAGAATCCTCAAGCAGATTCCCTGCTGAGGGAGGAGCCCAGCAACCCTCAGCAGGATCCTGCTGAGGTCAGGATCCAGGACCCTGGATCATGACCTGAGCCTAAATCCTGAGTCCGTCGCACAACTAACCAAGCCACCCAGGCGCCCCATATGTTTTACTGTTTTTAAAATTGCCACAGTGAACATGATTATCCACCTAGCAGAGTTCCTGGAATGTATTCGGTGCAATGTATAGTTTCTAATTAATTGCTTAATTAATTAATTAACATTTGGATGGGTAAACATAGGCTTTTCACTCTTTTGAACTATTTCCTTAGGGCAAATTCCCATATGTCGAATTACTAGGTCAAGTGGTTTGAACATTTTTATGACTCAGTGGTATGCAAATTGTTGTCCAAAAATATTTTTCCAAATTACATTGCCTCCAGCAAAGCATGTGTGGACCAGCTCTAACCCAACCCTGTCAGTACTTGGCTCTATAATTTCCCCACCCCAGTGGTATAACAAGGTTAGTTTTTAAATCAGGACAATCATTGGCTACCCATTCTCCCACCAGGACCCCAGGCCCTTTGGTTCCTAGAGGCTCAGAGACAGGTCATGGCTTCAGCTCTGTCCTGCCTGATTTTCCCTCTGTCATAATTAGGACCCTGCTATACCGACCGTTTCAACAGCCAGGACACTGCTTCCCAAAGTCCTTTGGTTTTCCCCATGGTTCTCTCTCTGGTGGGTCCCCTGTTTCCAGTCTCTAACTAATGTGGATTCCCCCTATAACGAGCTGTACTGAGCTCTTGAATCTACCACATCCTCTGCACTCCCACCCACTGCCCTAAGGCAGGCTAGACTACTCTCTCACCTCTCCCACAGCTGTGGTCTGTTCTCTTCTGACATGTTCAAAGCTCTCCTGCTGCTTACCTCTCTAAACCGCCTCCAATTTACCTAAGCACACTCTCCCGCCCCCCAACCCTGTTCTTAATAGTCATCCACTTCTTCCCCAATTGCCACATTAGCATTTTCCAAATTACCCCTCAAAGTCCTAGGGGCTTCCTCTGCAGCCCCTCCCTCATCACATCAGGTGCTGGGAGTGAGGGCAGTGAATCTAGGAGGAGCTGAGCATGGGGTGGGGGCGGGGTCCCTGTACTCCCTACTCCCAACCAAATCCACTGGGCTGGTGTCTATTTGACTTTAATCCATTTCAGTGAGACTGTTCGATTGAATATTTCTGTGGCTAAAGTTTGAAAGTTGGGGCTGGCGTTGCTTGGGTTGGCATTCAGTCTGACCCCCACCTACCTCTCTAGTCTGACTTCAGGTCACGTCCCCAAAGGCACCTCACCCTGATGTTCCCGAAACCCACAGCTCTCTCCAGTCTTCATACCCTTGGATGGTCTTCTCATTGCCCAGTCTGTTCATCTCTCCTTCCTTGTCTGCTGGAATTCTATTTGTCTTCCTTGGCTGACTCAAATATCATCACGTCTGCCAAGCCTTCCTTGACCCCAGCCTGAGAGATTCTGTCCCTACTTTGTGTACCTATATTCCTTCTCAAATATCCCAATCCCTTTTGACACCATACAGTAATAATGTGTACATACCCATACCCTCTGCATGACTAGGTTCCCCAATGCTGGAAATATGGGGATGCTCTCTTTTCATCCCCAGTATTCAGCATAGGGCCTGACACAGGTAGATAGTAGGTTTTGCTGAATTACTTATTATTTCATCTTTAAGCAAGTGCTTTCCATGATTAATGATAACTGTGGCATTTCTTTAAATACTAGTAGAGATCTCCTCGGTGAGGAATTCAGCTCCACACTAACATTTATTGAGTGCCAGCAGCAGGCCATGTGGAATGAGTAATACAGACAAGAGAACATAGGACATGGTTCCTGCTTTCAATAAACTTATACTCGAGTTATGGAAATGAAATGACAATGTGCAATATGAGAAACAATTAGAGGATGTCAACAGCCATATAGAATTTGGTTCCTATATGTCTGTGAAAGGAGCTGAATAGATATGGAAGGAAATGACTGAAATAATCTGACTTAAAACATAGACCACGTGGCATTTGTAAAAATCCCTTGAGGGGCACCGCAAAGGGGGAGGCAGATGTGTTTCAGAGCAGCTGAAACTCAGGCTCAGGGCGCCCCCCAGACCCTGACAGAGAACCATATCCCAAACACAACGTGGGGATATACGTGGAAATGTCAGAACTGTCAAATGGGAGCTCCATTCCTGAGGTCCAGAGGCAGATGTTCCGTTTTGCAGGTGACCTGGAATCCAGCTCCTTCTTACAACCCTCTGGGTAGCAAGTCCCATATAATTTTTCTCCCCATTCCAGCCTCTCAGCCTCATCCTGTGCTCATCCTCTATCCCTCCCAGCCCCACAGTCAGTCATTGCGATGCCGTTCTCACCAGTAAACCCACTTCCCAACCCTCCTCTCTCCTCCATCATCTCGGCTCTGCTGACTCCCAGTACCCTCTCCACGCCTTCACCTGTCACCCAGAGCTCCCAGGGAACACAGCATTCCATATCGTGGGAGTTTATATTCCCAATCTCTGTAAAACCTTGGTTCCAAATCTTCCCCACTCGCCTTGCACTCACACTCCTTCCCTTCCCTGACTCAGCAGATGACCTTGGCTCCTCTTTCCCTTCTCTTCCTAAAGTGGAGGACATCATGATGACTCCCTCATCCCCAGTCCCTGCCTTTCTGGTCCCTCCTCCTCTGTCTGTCTGTCTGTTGGTCTGCTCTCAGAGGAAGAAAAGGACCCTGTGCTTTCCTCTAAGATGTTTTTTCAGCCTGTGGGTTCCATCCTTTCCCACCTCTCCAGGACTTCACTCCATCTCTTTTGTATCTTAAATTTTTCTTTTTTCAATCGAAAGAGCCCAAGTGAGTCTAAGTCAGCCAATTTATGAAACAATAACTTCCTGCCCCAGCTCCCAAACCACCACTACTTGCCTTCCTTCTCTTCATCAGTATACTCATAAAAGAACATGTCTACTTCCATCCTCACAGGCTCTACTTCTTCACTTATCAACCTCTCAACCCATCCCAGTCTGGTTTCATCAGCCTGCATCTTTCCATCCAATCCACTCAATAAAATTTCCAGTGCCCTCCTAATGGCCAGACATGGCCTATGTTCATCCCACACCCTGCTGGTCTTCCTTGGAGACTCTTGATACTGTTGATTCTCCTTCCTCATCAAGACTTTCTCCCTATGTGATGACAAAACCATCTGCTCTCATTCTAGTCTCATCTCCCTGCTGGCTCCTCTGCAGTCTTTTACTGTGCTCCTTCCTCCAACTGCTCCTTTAGTATGTCACTTCCGGGCATTCAAACTCAGCTGTCTCCTCCCTCTAGACATTCTCTTTGGCAAAGGTCCTATGATTCCGTAGATTTGGACATCACCTACAAACTGGTAACTTGTAAATCCACATGTCTGGTCCAGATCCATCTATTATCTATCTATCTATCTATCTATCTATCTATCTATCTATCTATCTATCTATCTATCTATCATCTCTCTATCCTTTCCCATCCAATGTCTAATGGCATTTCTCCCAGTGTCTTCTCCAATCTCATTCTTGTCCCACCGCCAACACTCCCAAATCACTGCTTATCCTGTAGCCTTCTTCCCAGACAACAGCATTCAGTCACTCAAGCAGTCAAGTATCAGGCATTTTCCTAGGCCCGAAGAATACAAAACCATCAACACAAGGTACCTGAACTCAACAAACCTCATTAGCTAAAGTGTGAGTGTTAGGATTATCTGCAACACCCTCTCTTTCCCTCCAAACCGATCAGCACTTTCTAAATTAAACCATCTCTCTTCTCTGTCCTTGCTGCTACTGTCAAAATTATTGTGATGGTTTCTTTTGCAACTCTGTTTCTTGTAAACTCCTTCCACCGGAATTCACAAAATCAGTCAGCAAATACAAACTGAGCATCTGCTGTGGGCCAGCCTCTTCGGTAGCTGGAGATTTTGATAAAGAGAATGAAAAAAGGTCTTTGCTTTTGAAAACTCTGGAGCTAATACCCTTCCTCCCTCTCCCCACCTGGGAACCTGATTTTCCAGCAGCAGAAGTTACAGTTGTCTTCTCCTCAGAGGGAACTGCTGTCTCCTTCCTCTGTCCTCACAGAGCTCCCTGTAGATAGCTCTATCCTACCACTTCTCATGTAGCTTAGTTTTAAACGTGACTCTCTTCTACCGGACTGTGGGCTCCTCAAAGGCAGACGGCCCGTCTGGTTCACCATCTATTTTTATTTCCTGGCACAGAGTCTGGCACATGATGGACCAGTCCTCGAAGAGCCGTCACCG